GTGCCGATGCCGAGGCGATCCTCCCGAGGCCCTCGTACGCGGCCGCCTGGGTAATCCGGAACTTGTCGGAGTGGTGCCCAGCGCCCCCCTAGCTGGTACCCCCCAGCCAAAGGGCGGGTCGAGGGCCTCAAGTGGTGCCCCCACCAGCAGCGCCTGCTGGTGAGGGAATTTGCGGCCTCGCCGTCACTCAGGTGCAATTATATATATATATATATATATATATATATATATATATATATATATAAGACATCGGGATTCGACCATCGACTGCACCCGGGAGTTTTTTGCTTGCTTGCTTGCTCTCCTCCTCCTCCTCCTCCCTCCTCCTCCTCCTCCTCCTCCTCCTCCTCCTCCTCCTCCTCTTCCTCCTGAAACCCCCAAAGGCCCACGCATCGAGAGAATGTCAGCGCCGGGTTTCCGGGAAGGTCCCTGTGGAGCCAGAGGGGGAGGCCCTCTCTGTGGGTTTCGTGATGTCCTCTCGCACGTTGCACGCTCTTGGGGTGCTTCGCAGCAGCAGCGCCTCGTCGAGAGCTTTCCGGAGGGGGCCCGGCTCTTCCCGAACGGCCGCCGGAGGCCCAAATAATGGCTTCTGCTCGCATCGTGAACGAAACCAGGGCCGAAGGTTTGTGGCAATCCTCGGTCTCTGCCCCTGCCATTTTTTACATGAACTACGAGGCGAAAATCTGCGCCACGGTACTGGACCCACGGTGAGATCATTCCTCTGTGGGCGCAGGCCCTTGCACATACGGCTGAAACACCATATTTGCTTGGGACTGGGTTGGCCGCATTCCTTAGCCAATCCTCGAACATGGCTAAGGGCGGCCCCGGGCTGAGCGCCGGAAGACGATGCTGAGGATGGAAGGCAGGTCCCCCGGGAATCGGCCCAGCCAGGCCTTTGGGGAGGCACCTCTGCGGCTGCACGTGAGAGTGACCTTTCGCCAGCGCGGCCTCTGGTGCAGGCGCATGTGGGGGGGGGCCCACACGGCCGAATGCGTTGCGATAGCAGCGGCGCCTGCGCGCTGCGGCTCGGCCTCCCCGCGGCTCCCGAAGCCCGCGCACGAGAGGTCACTCTTGCCTAGGGCCACTCCTCGCGTGTAGCCGAGCTCTGCGAAAAGGCCACGGCGTCAGATGTCTGGGATGGCGCCTCCTCCTGCGGCAGGTTCGCGCCGTGATGAGGCGGCGGCGACGCCAGCGCGGGCGTTCAGGGGTGGCGCGCCAGCAGCGGCCCGGGACGGGCAGCCATCGGATGATCTGCACTTTCGCGTGGCGGGTTGGGTGGGGAACGCGAAACGAGGCATCGGAGGATTGTTCTGGATATCACCTGCCATCGCAAGGGTGAGGGTGACGTCCAGAACACAGACAGGATATCACGCGCAATCGGGCAAACGACTGTGGTTCCGCGGGTGTTCCGCCTGCGACCACCTCTCTGATTCCCCAGGGCTCTTCCCGCTGCGGTGCTCGGGCTGTGAGCGGCCCACGCGGTGCCCGACATAGAAGAAGACACAAAACCTCCCTGGCGCGACTCCGGCGCCAGGGGCGGCGCCGGAGGCGCCGCCGGGGGGCCCGGGCGCGGATCCGAGAAACCCGCGCGGAGCGCCAAAAAATTATGTTTACGCGTTTTTTGTTTTTTCTTATTCTTCTTCGACGAAAGCGGCGCGGGCGTCGTCGCGGCGCGATCCTGCCGCACGGCGGGAGCGATGGCACGCTCGCAGCTTTTCGGCCGCCACGCGCCCACACAGGAGCGCGCTCTCGGCCGCCCGCCCGCCCGGGAGAGCTGCGAATACCCTCTCCCGGGCGGCGGCAGCAGCCTCCGCTGCAGCCGCTCGTCCTTCTCCCCCTCCTCCCTCCTCCTGTGTGCTCCCAGGGTGACCCCCCTATTCACCCCTCCTCCCTCCTCCCTCCTCCCTCCTCCTGTGTCTCCCCACTCACCCCCTCCTCCCTCCTCCCTGTGTGCAGACAGGGGGGAGGGGGGTCCTCAGTCTCCTCCCTTTCTGGAACGGTGCAGCGGCGTGACCTAAGGGTAGCCTCAGCGCCAGTTTCAAGAGATTTCCCACCTCTGGGAGCTCTCGACTCCGGGGCAGGCCTCGCGAGGTAGGGGCCGCGCGGGGAGCCTCCGCCGAGGAGCCCACGGCCGGCGAAGGTATGGCGAAGCTGCTGTGTGCACTTATATTTAGAGCCGAGGCGCTCTGCAGGGAAGCTGGAACGAGGGGCCAGGGCCACGCGTTCGGCTCAGGCTGGCCCTGGGCACCACATCTCCGGCCTGTCTCAGCGTCATTCCGGCCCCAGGTCGTTTTTCCCAGTCACGGCCTCTTTCGCGCTCTGCAGGGGTTGCAGCCTCTACTTGTTCCAGCTTCCCTGTCTCCAAGGCCAGGTGTGTGCTCCGTCCCGTCTTACCCTTCACTTGGGGGTGCTCAGGACTTTCGCGTCTCAGTGGCGCAACGCCGTCATCCGGCGTCATGACTTGTTCGTGGCGTCATATTTTTTGTGTGAGTTTTGCCGTGAGGCGCGTATCGCGCAGTGCGGCCAAGGCGCAGCACCCTTCACCTCCGTCGGCTTATCATTTTTGTCCGTTCTTGATGCGACGCACGTTGCATGCCAGCAGGTCGCAGGCCAGGGCACCACGGGACGAACGAACCTCTTGGCGCATGTTTCCCTCTTCCTGCCTATCTTGTTCCTCCCGTTCCTGCTGCTTCTCCTGCTTTTTCCGCTCAGGCTGCTTCCCCAGCTCCTCCCGCAACATCGTGCTTCAGCTTCCCGATCCCTGTGATATGTTTTCTTCGTTCCTCGCATGCGTTTGGATGCCGCACTCTTGGGCGAACCCCCCACGCTGCTTCTTTGACATCATCGCGTCTAGGAAAATTACGACGGCATCATTTTGACTTTTTCCGGCCCCTGGGAGCCCTCACCCGGCCCCGGTCCCCGGGAGGCGGTCCAGACCGTTGGGGACCCACGCTGTGAACCAACAAATCACGACGTCGGATGTCTGGGCCCTCCTGCCCCCGCGCCGCTCGCGCTCTCCTGTTTCCCATCCGCATCAATGTGTCCACTCGGATCCATGCCTCGTCTCCCGGCGCTCCTCGCCTCTGGGCGCTGCCTGGTCTGTCTGGCCTTGGTGATGAAGCCCTCCTCGACCCATGGCGGCGCTTCAGTTGCGCTGCTCGGGGCTGGTGGTGAGGGCAGGGGAAGGAGGGAATTCTAGAAACTCGTCCTCCTTTTCGATCCTCTATTTTCCTCCCCACCCACTATCCGATCCTTGATCTTTGTCTTTCTCGATCCTCCATCCTCCTCATCCTCCTCTCCACGATCCTCGATCCTCCTCGATCCTCTCACTTTCCTCCTCCTCTTCCTCGATCCTCGATCCTCGCCCAAGGCCCGTCCTCGCGATCTGCTTCGCAACGTGAGCTTCTGGATGTCCGGACCCCTTCCCTCGCGGGAGTTTCAGCAGAATTCCCAGCGAGAGCTTCTGGCGTCTAGTATGGGATCGATTGCAGTATTTGTGTACCCTAATATTGTTTATGTCGCCGAGGCGAAGAAAAAAGATGCATCATGCTCGCATCTGTCAGAATTATACGCTTTCCTCGTTGAAATATTCGACAGCAAACAAGCAATGCTTGGACAAATCATGTCTGTAGTCGATCCCCTATTCGAAGTTCTGGAGTCGCAGATCAGTCCCCAGACTTGTCCCCGGGCGCTGTATGGCCAACATCTCGAAGCGGATCCCGCCGTGGCAGCAACGGAGTTTCCTGCCAGAGGCCGAGAAAGCACGGACAAAACGAAACAAGCACCTTTTATGCCCGAAGTCCGACCGTCGAAGCTCGATCCCTGCACTCTCCGTTCTCCTCATCCTCCCCTCCGCGACCCTCGATCCTCCTACGTTTCTCTTCCCTCGATCCTCCTCGATCCCCCCTTCCCAGAGGTGTCTGGAGAACCTCCAGCGCACCAGGCAAGCCCGTTTCCCTGGCCACAGTGGCCCAGTGGCCCGGCAATGCTCCTTCAGCCGTGCGCAATCATCTCTGGCACCCAGGACCTTCCAGAACACTCCTAATCGATCCTCCCATGTGTTCTCCTCGATCCTCCTCCATCCTCTCTGGACCTTGAGTCTGCGGGCGGTTCCGCCGCTGTGCCGCTGGCGCCCGCGACCCCTCCCGCTGACCAGCGCCAAGGGGAGGGGCAAACAAAAACCCGAAGGCAAGGAGTGGGGGGAACAAAAACGGCAAGGTGCCGATGACCGTGCACCTGGTGTGGGGGGGTGATGGGGATGGGGGGCTTGTTTTCCACCGCCACCACCATGAGTAGGGGGGCACGGGGGTCCTCCTCCTGCGCCTCCTCTTCCTCCTCCTCCTCCTCCTCCTCCTCCTCCTCCTCCTCCTCCTCCTCCTCCCTCTCCTCTCCTCCTTGTCCGCCTCCTCCTCCTTCTCCTCCTCCTTCTCCTCCACCACCCCCTCCTCCTTCCCCCTCCAACTTGTGGTGGTGGTGGAAGACAGGCCCATCAATGGGAGACTCCCTCCCCGTGCCTCGGCTGCCGTCGGCACGTCGCCTCCCTGCTGCTGGTCGTCGCCGCTGCCGCCGCTCTCGCGCCCGCGGCCGAGGGGCAGCCCGCGCGATGGCACGCTCGTCGGGCGCGAGAGCTAGAAAGGTACCCTCCTCGTGCTCCCCCCTCGGCTCTGCGGCTCGCGGCTTGGGCCATCTCCACCTCCTCCTCCTCCTCCTCCTCTCTCCTATCTCCTCCTCCTCCCTCCTCTCCTCCCTCCTCCTCCTCCTTCTCCTCCCTCCTCCTCCTCCTCCTCCTCCTCCTCCTCCTCCTCCTCTCCTCCTCCTCCTCCTCCTCCTCCTCCTCCTCTCCTCTCCTCCTCCTCTCCTCCTCCTCCTCCTCCTCCTCCTCCTCCTCCCTCCTCCTCCTCCTCCTCTCTCCTCCTCCTCTCCTCTCCTCCTCCTCCTCCTCTCCTCCTCCTCCTCCTCCTCCCTCCTCCTCCTTCCTCCTCCCCCCCCCCACGCACGAGGCCTTCCTGGCGAGGCCGGCCTCCGCGACGGCCCTGCCCGAGCGGCGGCGGCGGGCCGACGCGCCGCGGAGCCCGCCGACAGGGCCTCGGCGGCCTCGGCCCGCGCGGGGGGGGGAGGCGGCTTCCTCCCTCCTCTCCTCTCCTCCTCCTCCTCCTCCTCCTCCTCCTCCTCCTCCTCTCTCCTCCTCCTCCGAGCGGCGGTGGCGGGCCGACGCGCCGCGGAGCCCGCCGAGAGGGCCTCGGCGGCCTCGGCCCGCGCGCTGGGGAGGCATTTGGCAGGGCTCGTTTCGGTTCCTCCGATCCGATTCGATTCGACTTCGATGGATTCCGGTTCCGATTCGATTCGACCCGGGCTTCCGATTTGGGTTCCGATTTCTTATGGGAGGCATACTTTCCGCCGATTCGACTTTTCCTGATTCGGCTGCCGATTTCCGCCGATCCGATTCATGTCGATTGCCGATCCGATTTATCGATTCGATTCTGGGCTCTCCTGCATTTGGTCGGGGGGTGTTGGAAGGTGCTCGTGGCCCAAGGTCCCAGGCCTCCTGGCTGCGGCCGCCGTATCGCAGACGCATCGCCTATCTGGCCCGATGCGGAGCCTGATTTGCTCCGCGTTGGCGTCGCCGATGCATCGCCGACGTCGCCGCTGCATCGACGATGCATCGACCCTGCATCGACGATGCATCGGCAATGCGGCGCGGTCCTCCGACCCCATCCATTCGGACCACGTCTGGGAGATCCCTAGAAGGTGCCCCCAGCATTTCGCTCTATTTTGGAGCTCCTGCCACCCATCTGGGCCTCCCTGGAGTATGCTCTGGAGGCCGTGGGGGCCTTCTTGGAAATCCTGGGGGCACCTTGAGCCAGGGGCACTTCTAGCAACATTCGATTTGGCGGCCAGGCGCCGACGACGACAACGCCGACCCCCGAGATCATGGCGTCGCAGTCTGGAGTCGACTTGAGGTCTGAGGTGGCCCAGCTTTTTCGCTCCAGGCAGCAGGAAAGGTTTGCAAGTTCGAGGTGATGGGTTCGACAGTTCTTGCCCCCAACCATCCTGTGGTATTGGGTCTCGGTTAGAAGAGACGGTCCCCGGGTTTACTCCTCCTCCTCTCGCTGCCCCTTCCCTCCTTCCTCCTCCCGTCACCCTTTTTTCTTTGGCACACCCCTCACACGCTTCGTGGCCCCATAGTGAGCCCCACCGAAGGCCCAAGTGGCTGCGCTGGCATGACACCACCGCGCCCATTTTGGCACGCCCCTCACAGGCTGCGTGGCCCCATAGGGAGCCCCACCGAAGACCCAAGTGGCTGCGCTGGCATGACACCATCGCGCCCATTTTGGCACACACCTCTCACACGCTTCGTGGCCCCATAGTGAGCTCCACCGAAGGCCCAAGTGGCTGCGCTCGCATGACACAGCCGCATTCATTTCGGCACACTCTTCACACGTTTCGTGGCCCCATAGTGAGGTCCACCGAAGGCCCCAGTGGCTGCGCTCGCATGACACCACTGCGCCCATTTCGGCACGCCCCTCACGCGCTTCGTGGCCCCATAGTGAGCTCCACCGAAGGCCCCAGTGGCTGCGCTCGCATGACACCACCGCACCCATTTTGGCACACCCCTCACACGCTGCGTGGCCCCATAAGGAGCTCCACCGAAGCTCCAGTGGCTGCGCTCGCATGTCACCATCGCACCCATGTCGGCAGACCCCTCACACGCTTCGTGGCCCCGTGGGGAGCTCCGCCGGATGCCCCAGTGGTTGCGCTGGCATGACACCACCGCGCCCATGTGCGTGCCCCATAAGGAACTCGACCGAAGACGATACCAACAATTGCGTTACCCACAGCTGCATATGGTTGGGTCCTGCGCCAGGAGAATTTCAGTTTTTGTTTCCGGGGGCCGATACCATCGTGAAGAGATGGCACCAGAAGGACCCCACGAGGCGTCTGGGGACCGATTTTGACCGGATTCGCCTTCGTCCCCCACCTCGTGACCGATACCTTCGGGACCCAAGTCCGACCCCCTGGCCGCCTTCAAGTCGCAATTGTTCACGTTTCGCGTATCCCCACCAGTTTCTGACTCCGCTTGCGCTCTCGCTGGCGGACGCGACCGATAAAAATATCCCCACCAGCCCTCCAGCCCTCCACTTGCCGCTGGGCTCCGCTGCGTGAGGCCTCGGCCGGCGCGTAGCTGTTGCCTCGCGCGTCGCCGCTGCTTTAATTATCTCGTGTTTCTTCTGCCTAACTAATCTCTGCGTAGCCCGCTTTGACCTGACTCGCCGCCGGCGCGTTCGCCCACGGCCACTGACTAAAACAAGTATCCCCACCAGCCCTTATGCCACAGCGGCGGCTGTTGCACCGGGGTGCTCTCCCTCCTGTTTCAGAGGGTTCTTCCCTCGCGGCTGGGGTCTGCTGCCCAATACTGTTTCCTGTTCAGGTGTCTGGATTTCATGGAAGGATTCACAGGTAATGGTGCTGCGTCGCATTCGCTGGGGTCAGGTGCCCCCTGGCCTGCTCCTGGCTGGTGTCGGCCCCTACTGATGACCGGAAGGTTTCAGTGGGTCTCTCCCTACACTGCCCACCTTACGCTACCTGGACCTCGGGTTCGGCAAGTGTGGCTCTGTACGCTCGTTGGCCGACGTTTTCCTGCATGGACTTCGCTTTCGACGAGTGTTACACGTTTTACTGCCGTTTGGAGTTCTGTCGGTGATGAGGTTGCCCCTCTTCACTCTTGCGCCGACACGATATTTTGGCACTTGTGTCGCCTACTTCACGGATGTCGTCTGGGTGCGTCTGTCGGTCTAGTTCGTCCTTGACTGTGTTGTATGCCTGATTCACACCGAGCGATCGACCTCTGCGTGTTTATGGTCGCGCCGCCGCGCCATTTTGGCTGCGATTATTTGCTGGTCGCCACCGGGATTTCCAACGCCACCGGGTTTGGGAGTTTCGGTTCTGGCTCTCCTTCAGAGTGGCTGGCTGCCCGCTCGCTCGCTTCGCTTGCCTTTCTTCTCCTGCTGCCTAGTCGCGGCCCGACTAGTGTCCGGACGGCTTTCGACCCGCCTCGCGAGCATTTTGACCAAAGCAAATATCCCCACCAGCACATCCCAAAAGAGACACTTCCGAAGTCCACTGATTATCGAGAGCTGTCGGCCAGCATTCATTGGGAGCATCGTGGATGCCTTTTTTGGGGCCATCGTGGGAACTTCTTGGGGCCATGTTGAAGGCCTCATGCGCCGACGGTTGCCCCTGCAATGCTGGCGCCGCACGTACCCTAGTAGCTCTTCGTGTGTTAGTTTTCACGGTGGTAATGGAGGACCTCATGAGAGTCTCTCAGGAAGGATGGGGAGCCTAGGACGGTTGGTCTGACAGCCGTTACGCTCGCAATTGTATAGGGTTGCAGATTTCGCCTCCATAACCGCTACATGGTTGGTCCGGGCGCCGACGATTGTTTGTTTGTATATTTATACACATACATACATACATATGTATGTATGTATAGAAACACACATATATATAGCCGAAACTATTGTTTACTGTGCACCTGGCCGCGCTGTGCTGCATTTTGGTCATTTCCTAAGGAGTGATTGCGCGTTGCTTTTCTTATTCCCAGCATCCTGAGTGGGGTTTTTGTTTTCATTGGACACCATTCGCAGGAACATATTACCATTATCATCGCCATCAGAGCGATCACCATCATCATCATCATCATCATCATCATCATCACCCCATGTCTGCGCCACACACACACATTCACACTCATCAGCATCATTCGCCGCATCTTCATCATCACTCAATCTCTCCTTCACTTGCTCACCCATTACTCACCCAGTCATCACTATCACCGGCTTCGTCGGCATCAGTCACCCGCTCAGTCACACTCGCGCACAGCACACAGTCACACACGAACGCAGTCACACATTCATGCATTCATCTCGAGGAAGGCTAAAGCGGGAACCCCGTGTGTGAGGTAAGTGCGAGGAAGTCTCAGGCAAGGGCACCCTCTCTAAGGGGCCCGCGCTTCATCTCGGCAATCGGAGCGGGTCACCCAAGCCTTGTAACTGTCGTCACTTTTGGGCCCCGCACCCCTGAATGTTTAGGGACATCAGGCGAGGGCCTCGTACGTGAGTGAACTGCAAGGATGTTTCAGCGGGGAGCCCCCTCCCCATGGGGCCCGCGTTTCATGTTGGTAATCGGAACGGATCACCAAAACCTTCAAATTGACTGAATTGCAAGGAGGCCGCAGGCGGGAGCCCCTCCCTTTGGAGCCCGCGCATCACGTTGGCAATCGGAGCGGGTCATCCAAACCTTATGACTGTCGTCAGTTTTGGGCCATTCGCGTGTGAATTTCGAAAGGGGCCTCACGCGGGAGCTTCGGTTGTGAGTGAATTCGGAGGAAATCTCCGGCGGCGGGAACCCCCTCCCTGTGGGGCCCGCGTTGCAGATTTGCCATCCGAGCGGGCCATGGGCAAGCTCAAACTGCCGCCAATTCTAGGTTCCCCAACCAGACTTGGATCGTGAGGAAGGCTCAGGCGGGAGCCTCGTGTGTGAGTGAATCGCGAGGATATCTCGACCGGGATCCCCTTCGCTATGGGACCCGCAGCTCCATGTTAGAACCCGAACGAGTCCTCGAGATCTCGTAGCCGTCGTCACTGTTGGGTTCTTCCGGGACGAAGGCTGATGCGAACCCTCGCGGGCCAATTCGAGCGGGGTCACTTTTCTGTTGTTAAGAGGGCCACTCGCTCGGCTGAACGCAGTGCCCCCGCGCGGCGATGGCGTCACCTTCGACTGCGCCAGGGATGAGACTCTGGTCGCACGGGCATGTCGGACGAGCAGCGCTGATTCCGCGGCCGCCCACGCGGCAGTTCCTTGAACGCGGGCCGCCAGCGTCCCTGCAGAAGGAACTCCCGAAATTCGACGAGAAAACGGAGAGTTCCAGAACCGAGGCGGAGCAGTTCGCAGCACGGCTGGGCTTCGCGAGCCGCGCCCGCCTCGAAGTCCGCGGGGTTGCCCAAACGCCCTGGCCCGCGGGGTTGTCCCGACGGCCCGCCCCCGCGCCCCAGCTGCCCGCGGGGTTTTCCCAAAAGC